TCATATCAGCAGGCTCTCAGTAATCGCTCTGCCCCTGAGCTAAATCCACAGCCCAGACATTTATTTTAACTGAATTATTCTGTGCCTGTCTTGCTTTGTCCTATACTTAATAGTAATCCCAGTCTGACCCTAGCCTAGTGTCATGGCTGCTGAAGCTGCAACAGAGCCTGTGTCTGCTTTCAGTGCGCATTTCCTGAGATAATTTAAGACAGAAGAAACATTTTAATTAGACGATGGTTTAGAGTCCTGGGGTTGATTGTGTCCAAGCTTAACTTGGAAAGAGGGGCATGTAAATCAGGCAGGCGTGTTCTTTCAGTGAAACTATTTGTATTCTCTTACTCTTAGGAAAATAAAGATTGTCTTCTGAAATAACTTAGTGGGTTGACATACATCACAAACTATTTATTTTTTTCATCTCCAGAAATTATGAAAAGCCCTGGAATTGTGTCAACATTCCTCAGCTTCTGGGAAAGCAAACACTTGAGCACTTGAGTAGTCTTCCCAGCAATGTTAATTAAGAGAAGGAAGGGAGGGAAGGAGGCATGAGCCGGTTAATTCAGGCATCTTGCTAAGTAACTGGGAGATGCCAGCAGGGACTTTCGAGCTGACTGTTACAAAGCTGGCTTGGTGGTGCCGGTAACTTCCTGTTGCCTCTCTCCTACTAGTAGTCCTGTGTCAGCTGGTCAGTGGCATAACTAGGGAGCTGGACTGTCCCCAGGCCAATTTCCAGGAATTCTTTCCATTTAGTCACTCGTGAAAGAAGTCAAAAATTATCAATGCTAGGGGCAATGACTTTAAGAGTAGGAGTAGCAAACAAGGGCTCCTTGGGGATTGAAAGAGTGGGCATTTCTTTCAAGAGTAGCTGTTGTTTAACATACTGGCCATTAGTCTTCACCTACTTCTCATATCCCGTTGCTCAGATGAAGGTCCCACTCAGCCAACATACTGTCATTATTTATCCAAATCTTAGAATCAAGTGCTGATTAACTACACAGCCTGGTCTCATGAGCATTAAGAATGGTGATATTATTGTGTCACCATAGCTGTTATTATAGAAAATCAAAGAGCATCCAAAGACATCTGAAGAAAAGTTAAATTTTTACTAACATGTTTCCTTATTATGATGATTTTTATTTTAGCATTTTGTTGTATTGATATTTTTAAGGATTTGGGGTTCTTTTCTAATGTAGGTTGTTGATTGTTTGAGAGAGAAGATAGGTATTTAAATTTTCATCTTAAATACAAAGTGGGTATTATAAAGCATTCATCAGTTATAAATGGATATAAAAATGACCAAAGGTACACAAGTGGGCAAAACTCATTCCTTTCTAATGATATTTGGAGGTTAAGTTTAATAGTATAACAGCTATATTAATTTTCTGTATTGAATTTTTATTGATAAAAAACAACACACATACTACAATCCTGGGTTTAATTGAAATTCTTTTTATTGTTTAGAAAATATTTGATGTTTTTAAATTTTTTATTTGAATGAAAAATATTACATGTCAATCCCAGTTCCCTCTTCCTCCCCTCCTCTCCTGCCCCCCTCAACTAACACCCTACCTATCACCCTTTCTGCTCCCCAGAGAGAGCGAGGCCTTCCATTGGGGAGGGGGTCTTCAGAGTCTGTCAAATCCTTTGGGATAGGGCCTAGGCCTACCCCCTTGTGTATAGGCTCAGGGAGTATCCCTCCATGTAGGATGGGCTCCCAAAGTCTATTCCTATGTTAGGGATAAGTACTGATCCCCTACAAGGGGCCCCATAGATTTCTGAGGTCTCCTCACTGACACCCACATTCAGGGGGTCTGGATCAGTCCCATGCTGGTTTCCCAGCTATCAGTCTCTGCAACTGGATTCCAGTTCAGTTCAAGGTTTAGCTGTGGGTGCCTGCTTTTACTTCCACTAGATGCTGGATGTAAGCTATAGGATGGTATATAAGTCAGTCATCAATCTCATTATCAGGGGAGGGCATTTAAGGTAGCCTCTCCTCCATTGCTTAGATTGTTAGTTGGGGTCATCTTTGTAGCGCTCCAGACATTTCCCTAGTGCCTGATTCTCTTTAAACCTATAATGTCTCCCTCTATTATATTATCTCTTATCTTGCTCTCTTCTGTTCTTTCCCCAACTCAACCTCCCTGCCCCATCATGTCCTCCTCACCCCTCCTCTTCTTCCCTTCTCATTTTCCTAGCTCCCTCTCCCCTACCCTTGTGCTCCCAATTTGCTCAGGAGATCTTTTCCCTTTCCCCTTCTCCAGGGGACCATGTATGTCTCTCTTAGGGTCCTCCTTGTTTACTACCTTCTCTGGCAGTGTGGATTGTGGGCTGGTAATCCTTTACTCTATGTCTAAAATCCACATTTGAATGAGTACATACCATGTTTGTCGTTTTGTGACTGGGTTACCTCCCACAGAATGGTTTCTTCTAGTTCCATCCATTTGCCTGCAAATTTCAAGATTCCATTGTTTTTTTTTTTTTTTTTTCCTGCTGGGTAGTACTCCATTGTGTAAATGTACCACATTTTCTCTATCCATTCTTCAGTTGAGGGGCATCTGGGTTGTTTCCAGGTTCTGGCTATTACAAATAATGCTGCAATGAACATCCTTGAACAGATGTCCTTGTATGAATGTGCTTGTTTTAAGTGAAATTCTAAACAGAGATCCTGTCAAGGCATGCCAATGAAATGAAATATTTTTAAATCAGAAACATTTATTTATTTATTTATTTATTTATTTATTTATTTTGTGTGTAGTTTTGTTGCCATGTTTCTGTGTGCACCACATGTATGTCTAGGGCCTGTGGAGATCCGAAGAGGGCATCAGAGTCCTTGGAACTGTAGTTAAAAGTGGCTGTGAGCCACCATGTGGGTGTCAGGAACCAAACCCAACTTCTCTGTAATTGCTTTTCACATTGAGCCATCTGTCTGGCTGCAGTGAAAATAAATCTTAATTTAAGATTATAGGATATTCTTTTAGAATAAGGGAAGACTTGGAAACAATCTTATAACATCTAGTCACTTATAACTGAAGAAACAGAAACCCTTTGTGAGCAATCAACCTATTCATGGTCAGGCAAGCACATGGAAACTATACATGCAGAAGGGTACATCCAGGGTCTCTTGATCTGGTCTAAGTTCCTTGCTTTACATCCCTAGTGTAGACAGAGTTTCTTCCTGCCAGGTCCCACAGCCCTTTAGTCCCAAATAAATACACAGAGGCTTATATTTTATAAACTATTTGCCCAATGGCTCAGGCTTTTTATTGACTAGATCCCTCCTAATTGTTCACCCATTTATATTAATCTAAGTATCTCCATGTAGTCTTGGCTTACTGGAGAATCTTCCTGGTAACTGCATGGTGTTCTCTCTGGGGGCTACTCTCTGCCTTTTCCTCTTCTCAGAATTCTCCTAGTCTGGTAGCCCTGCCTATTATTTCCTGCCTGGCTACTGGCCGATTAGCATTTATTCATCAACCAATAAGAGAAACATATATTCAGAGCATGCAGGACATCCCCCATCACTCCAGCCTAGCATGCTGTGCTTCCTGCCTCTGTGACTTCACTTTTCCTTCTCTGATCACTATACCCTACCTTTAATCATGCTATTACTTAACTATGTGTATTCCTTATGCTCTATGCAGAGACGATTTCCGGTACCATATAACCTCAGCATCCTCCATAAGCTGGTACAAAATCTCTCTCATCAGTCTCCCATCCCTATATGTACTTACATATATGTACAAAATATGTTAATGTGCACAGTCTTCACTATCTTTATGTAGTTGTGCACTAGTAGTATATCTCATTATTTCAAATTCCATTGACTCATGCATACTAATTTTAAAATGTCATTTTACTTATATTAACTTTTATTGAAGAGGAAATAAAGTGAGGCATAGCATACTGCAAGAGTGTTATTAGAGTTCACTAGGGGAAAGCACCTGTAAGCAAGTGAGGGCAGAAGAAAGACATGAGCTGTGTTTGAAAGTTGTATATGATTTCAGGGTTGACTACTTTCTATTGGTTAACCAATTAGGAGACTCATCACTCCGGGGAGGCCAATTCTTCATCTGTCAGTCATTATAGTTGCCTACAGTTCTTTTTCTAGGGATGGGACCCAGTGAGATTCTCCTTCCACATTAACATATCTATTGATATTGCCATTGTTCATGTCTTGTTGAGGTATCATAGGTGTAGTTTCCCTGTCATTTCTAGAAGACACATTACTACAGCAGACATCCTAGTGCTCTTATAGTCTGTCCCTACAGTTCACTCAGCCTCCTAAAATGAAATTGCCTCTCATCTTTACTAGGAGAGTGTTTGTCTTACTCTACTGTTTCACTTTTCTTCTCACTAAAATGCAACCCTTCTGAAAGGTGATGTTGTCATATCTTGCCATGTCTATCATCTGTTGTGTGCTGTGTTCTTTAAATTACTCAGTATCTATTTTTAAATTTAAACAACTGATAAATGCTACTTTCATCAAAACAGTTAATAAAAGAACTACTTCATTCCATAAGCCTAAATCCTTCCAGCCATATCCTTTTGCTAAGCCAATTCAACTCTTCCATTTATAACTTAGAGATTTAAATTTGATATGCACAAGTACATTGCCTCCTAAAATGTCTTGTAAGTAGGTGATAATTTGGGGGTCTCATTGACATAGGTATTAGTCAATAATTTCTGTTATATACTGCAACCTTCCTGACAGATTTTTCAACACACGTTTATATATATACACCATTTTTAAACCACATGTATAAGAGAGCAAAGTTGATTTTAGGTCTACTGATATGAGTCTTCTGATTTCACACAGAGCCTCCTCCAATCATCCAAGTACCTAATAATGTTACAGTCATGCCTGGAGAAAGAGCAGTTTTGGTGTGTCTTGTCTTCAGTGCTGTGGAATACAATCTAACATGGCAGAGGAGTGGCAGAGATGTCCGACTAGCAGACTCAGCAAGAATTAGGACCTTGGCCAACCTCTCCCTGGAGCTGGGGAGTGTGAAAATTGGTGATGCTGGCGAGTACCGTTGTTTGGCTTCCAACGAAGGTGGATCAGCAGCAGCTTCAGTTTTCCTCATAGTGCAAGGTACTGCTCTTCTAGCCACCTCTGCTCTATGGCGTCCTTCCATCTTCCATCTTCAGTTTCTCTCTTTATAAGTGTGCCATGTAAAAGTTACAGTGTCTACCCAAACAGTTATCTTTGAATGAAAGAATACTTGGGATGTTCAGTTGTTTAAATGTGACTCAACTAGAAACTAAAATACTTCTAAAAATGAGGAAGATTTACTGAAATCATAACTGAGCCTGCTGGATGAAGATGTTCATTTTAAGAAAATATATAATTTGTCCCTGGGTGTTTTGATGTTTTCAAGTCTCTAGTCTACTGTGTGGACGTCAGGCAAGACCAGGTGTTCTCAGGGTGGTACCATCCTCAACAATCCTCAAGTGGATTTCAATTGTTTTCCTAATTGCCTCCAAGGATTCGGTCTTTATTTAAATGTTATACTAACACATATACAACTAATTTAAGTTTTTGCTTTTAAATTAAATTTAATAGATGTTATTAATACATTTTATTTTGTTTTTTTATTGGGAATGGTCCCTGTGGTGATGTTCATTAGTGAGACTATCTTTATTTACTTGCTGTTTGTTTATTTGGATATTTTCATACAATATATCCTGACTGCAGCTTCTCTTCCCTCCAGTCCTCCCAGTCTCCCACTTCCCCTCTCCCCTAGATCCACTCCTGACTCATCTGCCCCTAGAAAAGAGCAGACCTTTCAGGGATATCAACTGAACACTGCATAACAAGAAACAATGAGAGCAGGCACATGGCCTTATGTTAAGGCGTGGTGAGGCAACCTGGTAGGAGGAAAAGGATCTCAAGAGCAAGTAAAAGAGTCAGAGACACCCCCACTCCTACTGTCAAGAGTTCCTCCCAAAATAATAAGCCAACAACCATAACATATATGCAGAGGATCCACATTCTGGCTAGAATTGAAACAAGTGAGTTTCAATACAACATTTTCATACATACATACATATAAGCTTTGTTCTTATATGAACCAAAGTGCCCTCTCCAATCCCCCTTTTTCCTTTTGCAGTTCTTCCTCTCCTAAATAGATTTCTTCTGCCTACATGACACATACATTCCATTACCCTCTCTTCATATCTTTCTTTCCACCTTAGTCACCCTTCTCTTTTTATTCTCTCTCTATCTAAATATAGATATATGTGTAATTAAAATCTAATGTCAAATATGAGAGAAAACATGTAACATGTCTTCTTGCATTTGTCTAATTTTATTTTGATATAATAATCTCCAGTTCTGTCCATTTTCCTTTTAAGTGTCATAATGTCGTTTTTCTTTATAGGTGAATAAAATTCCTTTGTGTTTATGAACCGTTTAGTTTTAAATCCATTCATCTTCAAACAACCTATAGGCTGATTACATTTTTTTGGCTATTGTGCAGCAGTTAACATGGGTATGCAAGAATCTTAGTACTATGCTTTCTTAGAATTCTTTGGTCACATGACTAGGAGCAGTAGACTTAGACTACAGGGTAGTTCTATTTTTGGTTACTTGAGGAACCTGCCTACTGGTTTCCTTAGTGGCTGTGCAAGTTTGTATTCCTATCAGCAGTGACTAAGAATTTCTCCTTCTCCACATCCTAGATTCCTTTTGTTGTCATTAGTTTTCTTGATGGCAGCCATGCTGACTAGGGTGAGCTGGGGTCTCAAGGTAGTTTCTATTTTTTGTATTCCTAATGGCTAAGGATGTTGAAAACTTTTTTCAAATATTTATTGGCTATTTTTATGATCTAATTTTTGTTGATAAGTAAAGGAAGGTCCCAGTTGGTGGCACAGAACTCTGAGGACATATCCCCCTTTCCGGTAGCATAGAGAAGAGAAGGGGCAAGTTGAGTTCAGAAATGTGAGATCAGGGCCTGGAGGAGGGCTGTTGGTGCTTACAAAAGGGCCTGGCAATGGGTACCATGAGGGGTTTCTGTGAAGGGTCAATGGCCACCTCATATAAGGGGTGGGTGAGAAGAGAAAGAAGGAATTCAAGATCATAAGAAGCCATGAAGGATAAAATTTGTTCTTGTTGATGGGAATTGAAAGCAATTGGATTAGATGTGTCCTAGCTAGGGAAATGGCCTTGTGAGTTGATGTAATAGTCCTACATCAGTAACCTGAGGGGTGGACACTTGGACCTTAGATGGTGAAATCCTGTATCCCTGGCCAGACAGAAAGTTTAATAAGGCAGTGGTGGCAACCTGGCTAATTTGCAGGGATGGACTACAAAGAAGATCATCTACGTCATAGTCTCTCACTGGCCTGGAACTCATCAAGTGTGGTAGGATGGTTGCTCAGTGAGCTGCAGGTATCCTCCTTTCTCCACATTCCCAGTGCTGGCATTATAAGCCCAATCCACCAGGCATGACTTTTTAACAAGGACTCTAGAGACCAAGCTCAGCTCTCCAGACTTGTGAAACACACACTGTACTGACTGAGCTATCTCCCAGACCTCTGTTAATATATTTTGAATACAGCTTGTAATAATTGTTATATTGGTGAAATTTTGTTGCAATTTATTCAGATGTGTTTTAATGCTATTTCCTTACACTTATGCACATGCACTCTTAAGGGCATTCACTGAAAGCAAAGTTTGCATACACTATGTGTTCAGATCACTAAAATTGGGTATGTTAGTAATTCAGTTTAATAACTACTCTTGGTTGTTGTTGTTATTGTTGTTGAGAGCCATCATATGAAGACCTAAACCTGCTCAACAATTTCTCTCTGAGTAGGATTATTGGCATCTAAGTGCCTACAGACTCACTGAAAGTCTTAAAATAATGAGTAAATTACTCTTTCAACACTAAGATGGAAGATCTGATTGCTGTCTGCATAGAATATTTAACTTTAAATACTAGTTGTGGGAGACTGATTGCATCAGAATGGGGTTTGGCTATTTGGTTATAGCATTAGAAACAATGCTATACTATACCTGAAGCAAAGCCCTCAGACAACTTTCTAGAAAGTTTATGTTAGAGAACAGCCATTTCATGACTTACAGTGTTGTTAAAGACAGAAAACAGAAACTGCAGAAAGATTATGAAAGATGCTCTGCATCTGGCTATTGTTTTCTGTGGTCCTTGAGGTATCTTCTGCAATTGTAAGGCACATCTCTTGTTAGTGAATCTGGCAATGCCTCTAGGGAGAAGTTGCTTTTGTAAAGGGTTCAGTGACTTTATACACAGTGATGATCTGGAAGATAATCTGAATCCATTCACTCAGTACTTGAGTTCCAAGAGCTCCCAAGTCATCTCAACACACTGATGCTTTCAGATAAACTAAATGTTAAAGAGCTTCTGAAATTTAGCATTGGTTCTTTATTTGAAATCACTAGGTGTAGGATTATAAAATAAAATCAAAACACTTGTTGAGAATGAAATTAAGAAAAAATATCATTTATAAGGGCTACAAAAATATTTAGGAATATGTGTAACCAAAAAATTGAAAGGTCTTCACAGTGAAAATGATAAATCATTGATCAATGAAATTATAGAAGACACCAAAAAAAAAAGAAAAGATACCCCATGTTCATGGATTAGTGGAACTAATATTATGCACAAGACAAAGTTATGCAATGCAGTTCTCATCAAAATGCCAATTATGTTCTTCATAGAAATAAAAAAAAGAAGTCTTAATTTCACATGTAACCACAAAAGGTCCAGAATAGCCAAAGATTTTCATCCAAAGAACAAAACAAACAAAGGCTAGAGTTAATACAATATTTGACTGCAAAACCTACTACAGAGCTTGAGTTGCTAAAATAGCAGAGCCCTGGCATAAAAATAGATATGCATACAAATGGAGTAAGAACCAAGAAATGCAACCATTTTCAAACTACAGTAGATATTTGACAAAGACTATAAGAACAAGTGTTAAAAGAGACAGTCTCTTCAGTAAATGGTATTGGCAAAATTGTGCAGGTGCAGAATGAAAATAGTTTCCTTCCTTTCAACATGTACAGAAACCAACTCAAAATCAGTTAAAGATCTAAATGTTAAAACTCTGTATGAATTATTACAAAGAACCAAGAAACATTTCAAGACATTGGAATAGGCAGTGTTTGTAGACAGGACCACAAAGGCAAAAACAGAAAATGAGATTACATTAACTTAAGAAGCATGTAAAAAATGAAGTTCAGAGGTAACCCACGGAATATTTTTAAATAACTCACATGATAAAGGATTGTTATCCAGAATATATAAGAAACTCAATATTAATACCAAAACCAAATAACAAACAAAACATCCCATCAAACCAAAACCAGAAACAACTACCCCACTCCCAAAACATTAAATGAAATTAGAAAGATGTTAAGAAGTAAATAGGTATTTCTCATAAGAATGACCTCAAATGATCTCCAAGGGTATAAAGAAATGCTCAATTTCATTAATCATCAGGAGATTCAAATCAAAACTACAGTGACACATAATCTCATTACAGTTAGAACAGATATCATCAAATAGATAAAAATTGATAAATTTTATGAGGATGAGTGTTGTTTTAATTTCGACACAGTGATTGTGCCTTTATCTAAAGCTATTTCAGTCAGAAATTGTGACTCCATAGTTATCCGCCGGTTTCTCTAGCAGCAGCCTGGCCACTCAGGCTGCAGACTGATTGGAATTCTGTTCCTGCAGGTTCTGGCCCTGTTGCTGCCATCAAAGGTAGCTCTAAATAAACTTCTGTTATTCTACTGATAAGTAAGACTCTAGAGTCAAAGGCTGGGGTGAAAACCTGTGAGCTCAGAGAAGCTGAGTAGCAATTAATAAACCTCTCTCCTTGCTGGCATTTCTGAAAAACCTGTTTTTGCTCTGCTAAACTAGAAATAAAGCTGCCTCACTCCAACCCCTCCCTACTACTTCTGTCTCTCTCCATTTCTCCTGGATGCCATCTGATGTTTTTTGATTACTTTCTGCCAACTAGTTGCTAACTCAATCTCCTGACCTAAGGTTCATTTTATTTAATCAAAGCAAATTCAAACTTGAGGTCCACAGTGTGGTTGACTAT